TTGGTTCAGACAAGTTCAGATTAAGACCGTTTTGGTTCAGGGAGGCACTCCAACATCCAAAGAATCTAATCCTTTTAATCGATAATCCAAACAATCCACAAAGAGCACAAGACATCCCATTGACTGACATGATTCAAACGAGTCCACAATTTCCACCCCAAGCCCTCCTTCCATACCAATCCAGCCTAAGCCCACTTTTCACGTCCACTCTAACAACCCATCTGCATATTATGTAATGAGGAGGAGGAAACAGCCATCCATATCATCTTCGAATACGATGCAACAGCTCAATGGAGATTTAACCTAACGTCCAAAAAACTTAGGGAATCAAATTGTAGCAGCGACAGTCAATGACCTGATACTTCTAAGGAGAAGGATGAGTCTAAGAACTAAGGATCTAGGAAGGTACAATAAGCCAGAAGGCTGCAGTGCCTGGGGAGTACAAACCCTGCTTCCTAGTATCCTTATCACCATACCTTAACAACCCTCCCCGCCTAAAAAATCAGTTACCCCACCTCCCAACATAACCATAAACCTTAACTAACAATCCTAAACACAGATTTCTGGCAATGGCCGGCTCCTCCCCTACATCCCCATGGTCTGACAGGTCCCCCAGCAAGATCTTTTCTTGGTTGTTACCAACAAATTGTTAAATTTACACATACTTTTTGTACAGAAGTCATAAAAAAAATCTGTATCAATTTCTTGAGGCCAATTAATAAAAGCAACCAACAGGTCAGTTGTACCTTTAAAAATAACCATTCTAAGGCGAATAAAACGAAATGTGATTTGTATTTTCTAACCCTAAAAACAAAAAGGTTAGTGAAATCAATGATGGTCAAAAAACAAAACGAAAGTAGAAAAATCGTTATTTCCTTAAAGTACCACAGATAAATAGCCTAATTAAGAAACCAATGTTTCAATTGACGAAACTGACAACCTTTCAAAGCCAAAAAACAATTATTAATTCAGTTGTAAGTACAAATTTGAAGCAATTTACTCAAAAATAGTACAAATTTACAGTAATTTACCCAAAGACCGTGTGTAATGAAAAACGGAACGGAAACGGTACGAAATAAATGATTTACCATTTCCCCGGAGGGAAAGAGATCAATGAAGACGGATGATTTGCCAAGAGCCTTTGACAACCGGACTCGGCCACTTTCGCAAGGTTCAACCCAAAAATAAACCGGCCGGCAATTTGATTTATTGTCGGCGGTTCGATCGCCCCCAGATAATCCCTGCCCGACCATTGTCCCCTGTCAGGCTGAAGATTGCCAATGCCGGACGTGACCGGCGGACAAATACGGAATAAGCGGAAGGAATAAGGACAAATTTACAAACTAAACCCTAAACACACCTGCAATACTTATTACTTTGTTTATTTAATTCGCTCTTGGGTATAAAAAGTAATATATAATGGACTTACTATTTTAATAAGGGTCAGTGAGTGAGAGTTTGTAACCGACGTGTCAATGAATTTAAGTGAATGAGTAATTGCGTTTGGGTGACTGCATGTGAAATAGTGCGAGGAAATGAGTGAGCGAGTTCGCTAGTTAGGGAATGTAAATGAGGGATTGAATTAAAGTGAATGAGTGGATGAACAAGTTAATGAGAGTTGAAATGAATGAGTGAGTGTTTGTAAGCGATGAGAGAGTAAACATGTATGAACGAGGGGGCAAACGACTGTAACCCAATGAGTTGGAGTGGATGAGCGATTGTAAGCCAATGATTTTGTGGAGGTGAGTGAGGATAATTCAATGAGTTAGCGTAGAGGAGTGATTATAAGCCAATGAATTAGTACTACAGGTAAGTGAATCTAAATTGAGTGAGTAATCGGATCAGTTAGAGTGAATGAGTGAGGCTACGTACGCAATTTAGAAAAGGTAAGTGAGTGTAAGGAAATGCGTTAGTGTAGTTAACTGAGTGCCAATGAGTTAGTAATAAGCGAATAAGTAGTAGATGAATGAGGGTAAACCAATGTGTAGCGTAGGAAAATGATGGTGATTCAATAGCTAGAGTAGGTCAGAGATTATAACCCAATGAGTTAGCAGTGTAAGTGAGTGAATCTAAATTGAGTGAATCTACGATAGAAGGTAAGTGTATACGTCCGTAGATAAGACAGTGTGAGTAAGTAGTGAATAAGCAAACGAGTTAGTGTAGGTGAGTGAATCTACGTAAATAAGGTAGTGTAGGTGAGTGAGTGGGTGAGCCAATCAGTTAGCGTGAGTAAGTGAATATACGATAGTGTAGGTAAGTGAGTGTGAGAGTGAGTGAGTGAGCCAATGAGTTAGTGTAGGTAAGTGAATCTACGTAAATAAGGTAGTGAAGGTGAGTGAGTGTGTGAATAATCCAATGAGTTAGTGTAGGTAAGTAATATACGATAGTGTAGGTAAGTGAGTGTGTGAGTAATCCAATGATTTAGTGTAGGTAAGTGAGTAGTGAGTGGGCCAATGAGTTAGTGTAGGTGAGTGAATCTACGTAAATAAAGTAGTGTAGGTGAGTGAGTGAGTGAGTGAGTAAGTGAGTGAGTGAGTGAGTGAGTGAGTGAGTGAGCTAATGAGTTAGTGTAGGTGAGTGAATCTACGTAAATAAGGTAGTGTGAGTGAGTGAGTGAATGAGTTAGTGTATGTGAGTGAATCTACGTAAATAAGGTAGTGTGAGTGAGTGAGTTAATGAGTGAGTGTGAGTGAGTGAGTGAGTGAGTGAGTGAGCGAGCGAGCGAGCGAGCCAATGAGTTAGTGTAGGTGAGTGAATCTATGTAAATAAGGTAGTGTAGGCGAGCGAGTGAGTGAGTGAGCGAGCCAATTAGTTATTGTATGTAAGTGAATATACAATAGTGTACGTAAGTGAGTGAGTGAGTAATCCAATAAGTTGGTGTAGGTGAGTGAATCTACATAAATAAGATAGTGTAGGTAAGTGAGTGTGTGAATAACCCAATGAGTTAGTGTAGGTAAGTGAATATACGATAGTGTACGTAAGTGAGTGTGTGAGTAATCCAACGAGTTGGTGTAGATGAGTGAATCTACATAAATAAGATAGTGTAGGTAAGTGAGTGAGAAAGTAAGCCAATGAGTGAATAAACAAGTATTTATTAGGGGGTGAATCTGTACAAAAGTTAGCGAGTGAATGTATCCATGTGAGTTAAATAAGTAAGTAAATCGAGTGTAAGCGATGAATGACCTAGTGTGGTGATAAGTGAATGAGCTTAAATAAACGATCGTTAGAAAAATTGGTAAACAAGTTCGTGAGTGAGGTAGGTGAACGAGTTAAGATAAATGAAAGAGCTCAAATTATGAATGAGTGAATAAATATAATTGATTGAATGAGTCAAAATCTATGTATGACAGTGTGAATGTGTTAATGAAGTCATTATCGAAAATAAGAAATCTACATTTTCATAAAAGTTTAAAACTCTTCGATTTAACAGTGTCGTTTTTTCTTCAGGATTTTGTAATATCGGGTTTTTTTATCAAAAGCCTCCAAAACAACAAAGGTTGTCTATTTTGTTCACATCAGTACTTTCAACAGGTCAGCCCGTTGAATACCGGACCAGACTTGGATAATGGTTCACAACGCGTGAGAGCATAAAAATAACACGTCGCACAATCACAATGTGATATTCACATAGAAATTATGCTTTATGAAAAGGCCTGTAGAATTCTGTTTCTCGATATTTTCCTCGACAGATTGTGTACGTTCATTCACGTCTAGATGTCTTAAGACAGCTCGATTCGTGTTGGAACACACACGTTCTTACAGCCCCGAATCGATAGCCACGTGCGAATCCAACTTGTTTCAACGAGCAACTTCGGATTTAGGTAGTCTAGACGGTCTTCGCTTAACGGTCAACTAATCGATAAAGCTCATTCCAAGTTAAAAACTTTTTTCACAAATATCACCAGACACCTTTCATCTACAGACTTCATAATTACAAAGGAACATTGCACGGGGTAAATCGATGACACAAAAAGCAAAGAAGGATATTTCATTCGCTTGAATAACGGAAAAAAAACATAAAAACCCTTTTATTTGTTAACCAATTTTGTTTTTGAAAAAATTCACAGACGAAATAAAACTTTATTGTATCCGTAAGAACATACTAGTTCAAAATGTTTCTTATTCAAATTAAACACTGAGGTTCTTTTGATATAAACAATTTTCAATTATTATAGTCATAAAATGCGTGATTAAATATAGAGTTAATTTTGTTTTATTACTAGAAAATAATTAACTTTTGATATAAACTGTCTACCAAACACGTTACCTGGGTAACGTAAACGTCAGATGTTCGTAAGCATCGGTGGTTCAGTGGTAGAATGCTCGCCTGCCACGCGGGCGGCCCGGGTTCGATTCCCGGCCGATGCAAATTATTTTTTAAGTTCATTTTAAGTCAAAACGTTTATAAACAGACATAATATAAAATAAAACGCTTTATTCTTTCTTATATTCAGGATACAACCAAGATAGCGAGCTTTTCAGTTTAAAAAAATTGCTAATATAAACAAAAACTAGATCATAGTATGGTCTTCATGAAAAAGCGAATTCTACTGCTACTGTCGAGCTTTCGGCCTATGTTAATTTTTAAAAACTGTTTAGTTTTAGTTTCATTTTAATAAAATTCTTAATTATAATTTGTTTTTCGTAAGTTTTTAAAGGTGTTGACTTTTAACTTTTTCATTAGCCGATGCTTTCTGGCATAATGCCTTTGGTCTACATAGGTCACTTTATTTTTACAAAAATATATGGATTTATTACAAAAAAAAAAAAAAAAAAAAAAAAAAAAAAAAAAAAAAAAAAAATTAATATGTTATTAAATTTAAATGAACCGTAGTTAAGAAAAAAATAAAATTATTTTCAAGTAATTGGCATTTCAGTTCATAACTATTAATAATAAATATTTAATTCCCATTTTTTGTTGTACGATTAGCATACAATGTTTAAGTATAAAATGTCTACTTCGAAATGTACAAACCAGAAAGAAACGCAAAACCTAACGAGCATCGGTGGTTCAACGGTAGAATATTCGTCTGCAATAACGAATGACTCAGGTTCGACTCCTGGCCGATGCAAATAATTTTTTTCCCTCTCGATCTAAAATATTTTATATTTCGCCGTTCGGTCCTACCTTAACGAATTTTACACAGATTAACATTGAATGTTACAATATGAACGACTTCTCAAACGGGCGTACAGTGAAACTTCCCTATAACGGACGCTCTTCACGAATAAAATGTACTGACAGGCAAAAATTCCACCCAACTGTAATATAACTTCATTTGTATATATTATTATATATTAATCAAAGTTTCACGTTTTTTAACGTTTAATAATTGAGACTGAATAAACATTTTAAATTCCGTAAAATTTAAACATTGAAAAATCCCTTATCCTTCTTTTGGATTAAGGATTAAGTGTGCTTACCTCTAATTCACATTCCCAATTTAAAACATAGCATAAACAAATATTCATTGGTAAAAACAATGAGAGAAATTAGGGGCAGAATTTTATTTTATAGACAAAATGAAAAAAAATTGATAGGGTGGATTTTATTTCTTTTTAAGGTATATGACCAGTTTGCATTTGCACCATTAGTTTATCTATATAAAATTTTGTACTATTTTCAAGTAATATTTAAAAAAAAGTTTACTAGCCGACGAGCCCCATGTGGCCAAAATGTAAGAAAGTTACCTACATAGTGTTTTTGAAAATGTACAGTTTTGTTAAACGATTTTTTTAATTAGGAATCCAATTTCTTCGTGTAATACTTTTTTTTACCATATGTATTTTTTTTAATGGTTTTAATTGATTTTAGATTTTTTATAGCTTTTATTTTACATTCAGAAAGTTTTTTTTTAGAAGGCTTAATATAATATTACGTGTTTGCACCAGAAGTTAAACTTGGATCTTTTTTTATTTATGTATTTTTTGAATTAGTTGTTAAATTATTAGTTGTTGTTTTTTTAATATCGTTATATAATAGGAACATTTGGTTGCAATCAGTGTTGTTAAAGTTTTTTAAGAATTTTGTGCATACATATGCATTCTAAGATTTCTTTTAAAAGGGTTTTGTTCAAAATCGAAAGTGTGGAATTTTTTTTGACGATCAAAATTCAACTATATTTATACTAATATAATAACATAAGATATTACTACGAAAACTTTGGACGTACGGAATTGGAACTGTTGGATTCCACCAAACCTTCCAATATCAAGATCTTCCAAACCATATAATCTAAGTTCTCAGACAAATTGTCAAAACCGTTACTTCATCAGTAACCTAAACTTTTACCAACGAACTGATCTCGTTTCAAACCACATCCATCCTAGACTTCCCCTAGAAAATGATGACCTTAAGCCCTCCTCAAACTGAGTGGCTGGGTTCTCCTAACATGTGTTCTCATCAGCAGTCTTATCCGATGCTCTCCTCACATTCTGACTCTACCTTTGCAGCAAAATCGACCCCAAGATCGTGGTGCACTCGATTGCGCATCAAGCTAAACAAATAAAAGATCCGACAGGTGTGTTAGAAGAAGTATCTGCTCAGCAGACCACATCTACAGTATTGTAATCCCTCCTTCCAACCAAATCCGCTACTCCTTGGGTTCTTCTCAACCGAACGACAACTCAGCCTACTACTTGGGCCCAAATCCGAAGTATACCAAATAAATTAAAAAATATATAAGAAACTAATTTGACCGATTTGTACTTAGTCGAGTTGTCGTGTTCAGCTAAGCCGTTCAACATCCGAAGAATACAATCGTTTCAATCAAAAGTCCTCCGTCGCATCCTCAAAGTTCTCTTCTACATTACTAATAAACCATCCACAAAGAACTAGGTATCCAATTCGTGATGGACATATTCCAAACAGGTTCGACAACTTCAACTACAAGGATAAGGTTAGGGATAAGAGAGGCGGCCACGAGGCCTACTGCACCTCGACCTAAATAGATCTATTGTGCTCCTCTGTTAATTATAACTTACTGGCCAGCTTCAGTCTAATAACCAACCACAGCTTTGGCAGCGGTTTCTTGGTGTAGGACCTTGCTGTGGATTTTCTTGTCCTAGTTGTCAGAATCTGGGCCTACATAGACTTTACAGAAATATAGAATGTGTTCTGCGGTCTCCTCCTCTTCCTGGCAGTATCTGCACAGTGTTTCTTCTGTCTGTATTCCTATCCGGTGCATGTGCTTTCTTAAATGGCAGTTCCCCGTCAGGAGTCCAACCAGAATCCTAGTTCGGTTGCGGTTGCCTTCCAGTAATTCATTTGTAAGTTTTGCAGATGGTCCTACTATGAATCTCTTCTCGTGCCTCATGCCAGGATCAGGTCATTAGTGTCGCTGACTTCCGTCAGGGCCTCCATGCATTTCCAAATTTCTGTCAGAGAAAATGGCTATCTGCCGGGAATGTGTTCCTAGCCTTTTTATTTCTCTGGCACATTGTTCAATTACTATGATTCCAGACTGGAAAACTGTAGCATACTTGCCTAGGTTATCCCCCCTAACACCTAACACAACCCTAAATCTTAATCCTAAATACTGATAGTTCCAGCAATGGCCGGCTCCTCTACCACTTCATCATCCCAGCGGTATAAGGTTCCTGCCAAATCTTTTATTGTTCACTACCATCACATTGTTAAACGTATAGATTTTGTACAGAAAGCAATTATTTAAAAAATTATCACTTTTCCATTAGTCAATCAATTGGCCTATTAAAAATGTACAAGAAAAAAGAAAAAAGCCAGTTGAAATCCTTTAAAACCTGAATTATTCAAAGTGAGAGCGTTTAATTTATCCTACCAAATCCAATAATAGTATATTAACAATTCCGGCTCGGTCCACATGTAGAATGCTAATTAAGGTTTCTAATCAAACGCGGCCGGACCAGAATTAGAGACAAGTTTAAATCAATACATACTTGACAAACATCCCGAGTACGACAGTTTATCAATAATTACAAAAGCCGCGTCAATTTTGCCCTAGAATGTTACAACATCGCAAATACTGGTTTTAGTGTTGTTTCGTTGCGTCGAGACGATGAATCTTGGCCGAGACCGAGTGTGTGGTGCCGTTGGTGGTGGTCTGTGACCAATGAACCGTTGGCTTAGGTCCGGGGACCGAGAGTCGGTCGACTCCGCTGTGGCTGAAGGGACTCGTGTACAGCAATTAGCCAAGAGCAGTAGTTGGCGTTTTTAGCCAAGTCGGCTGTGTTCAGAAAGCGAGAATCAGGCTAATGCTGCGAGTAACCTTGCTGTCGTGGTCGATATAAACGATGGCATTCCATTAGTGATGGGTGAGACCTAGTCTTTAGTCAACGGGCAGTGCCTATTCTTATAAAGGGCTCTACTCTGATTGGCTGCAGAGTGGAGGGCAAGAACATTCAATAAGCGGTAGTGGCATCTATTGGTAACGTGGTAACTACATGTGGCCTCTAAATAGTCGAGACCAGGCAAAGAAGTGCTCCGTTTCTCTGTGATGTTCGCTCAGTGACGAGTGTTGTAGAGGTAGTCTGGAACTACACTGTAGACTGTGTGGCTGGCGAGGTCGGTCTGCTTATATACTCCTCCAGAGTGGAGGTGCTCATTTCTGATTGGTCGCAATGTGGAGTGAGGCGAACCTTCTTATTGGTGACCTTGTGCGTTTCGATCGCACCATCTGTGTTTCCAGCTGGTTTTACTGGCAAAGGTTGTTTGCCAGAGATGTTGCTCGAGTAACAACGGTCAATTGAGAAAATGCATAATACTGGTATTGTATACACAACAAGGAAATTGAAAATTAGCCAAGACTTGGAAAGAGCCAAAAGTATCAAGTCAATATTAACACTACCGCTTTTGTCAGTTTTAGTTCAACTTTTATACCGTGTTTCCCGCACCGGAATCTTCACCACTTAAATTTTTGTTAAAACTAAATGTGTTCCCTTTTGCACTAACAGCACGTGGCCACGTTCACTAAGCATACGCTCCATTGCGACTAAACCGATGATGACCTGGCGCATGTGGGAGTTGTGTTTTAAAAGCATCGTGGGCAGGAACGTGTACGTTTGACAAACAGCACTGTCCGACCTTGGGGATGAATATGTGCCAAACTTCATACTTTTCTGTTCAAAATTGGGGAGGAATATGTCGACCCCGCTCTTACCGGTGGAACTTCTGGGTCATAAAGGAGTTATTGACGTCCAAATACCCTTTGGGTGTTCCGAAAAATCGGTTAAGCACTTCACACTCACTTAAATATTATTTTGATCAATAGGATAATTTGATAATTTAAAAAAAAAATAGGCTTATCCATAATGTTAATTAACTTATATGCCAAAATATGACTTCTTTGCAACAATGGTGTGGATAAATGTTTTTAGAGTTCCAACCCTTTATTATGAAAAACACAAAACAGTAATATGACTATTTCAGAGGGGAAAAAAATGTTCCAAATCTCAAATGAAAAGTGCCACGTTTACCACTCTTATCTTCCGACAAAATTGAGAGAGAAAATCCCTGATAACACTAATCAACTCTTGAAAATTGCATTTTATTTATAAACAAAGGTTTAAATAGATAACAGCGAATACGGTTCAGTTTGTCAATTGATTCGAAACGTGTGTCATGTTGAGGGGACAAAAAAAATAGATAAACACATCAAAGGACCTGATCTCATTAACACGAACACGAGTCAAGTAATCAAGTCCTTTAATCATGGATAAACAAAGCCCAACACATCGCTTTATCTAATTTTATCTAATGCACCAATGCCCCTCCAAAAACATAACGATAAATGTCTAAAATATTAATGCTATTTATATATAAAAAATAACATTAGGAATGATGATAATGATAATACTGATTGATCAGAGATTTAAACTTGATATTTACCGTAAAGTACAGATTCAGTCACTTCTAAATACTTATAGCTGTTACGTATTATTTATCACTGAATTCTATTTAATTGACCTTTACTTCAACGTGAGGTGCGTACAGATATTAAACCAAATCAAGCCGGCGTCCCACAGGGGGGCTTCTTAGTCCCATCTTTGATACAATTTACACTTCTGACTGCTTATGCGTCCGAAACTATCATAA